TAAAAAAGAACTCAAAGTAGTTATTAGATAATATTTTTTTACATTACAAAAATGTGTAAAGTTGTCTCTGCTTTCAGAACTTCAAGACAAACTGTGTTTATTTTGCTTTACAACACTTGTCATGAAGGAGTTTAATTCAAGTCACTACAACACGTTGCACAATTTACTGAAGTCACAAGAATATAAATAACAGTGTCCTTTTACCAGAACCAGAACCACGCAGGAGTCTGCACTCAAGGTGTCTAAAGAGTTCAGTTTTTGTTTGCTTCAAATACTTTGTATTCATACAGTATTTATTAAACAGTACAACTTTTGTGCATGCATTTCAAACATACATATTTGTTCTAACAGAAATTAAGGAGAAACACAACACAATCCTGATTGTTTACTGTAAAATGAATTTGCCATACTTTAACTGCAGACCCTGGTGTTCACAGCATTTCCTTCCAGTCGGCATTTGAACTTCTAAACAGCTTGTCTGCCAATTCAGCATTCCTCCAGTCATCAGAAGCAGCATCTGGGTCACTGTAGCAATGTCCAGATCAATGACCCAAACCTGCCAACAACAAACGATTAACTGTGTGAGAGCAGAGAAAACTTGACACCATAAAATAACCATTTAAAGTTTCCCTTTCCACATAAAAAATAACATCCAGTTATTTAACCTTGTTAGAACTGTGGCAAGCACATTTTGATCTTTAAAATGTCATCAATGCAGAGAGGCAGGTGAAAGGAAATGACCATTAAGTGGGTGGTTTTTTTAAGCTATTTTTAGGTGATTCGGTTGTATTAGTGACACAAGCACAAAGTAAATCCTCTATGTGTTTGGATTCAGTCTGCCCTGGGCTAGTTTGCTTGGTTCAGGTCTGATGAGAAGTAAAGTTCAGATATGTATGGTAAATGGCATCATTATAAGTATATTAAGGGGTCAGGTATGGAYGTAGCCTTCCACTTAAACAGGGCTAATTTTGCAGATAATAACCTAATGGCTATGCCCTTTCTTCAAAAGTGGCAAATAAATCACCAGTGAAGGAGTTGTTAATAACTAAGTGGCAGTCGGCTGCCTCCTTTAGCTATTCCTATTTGTCAAAGTAAACGCTCCTGCCACTGGATGCAAATTGCTGCCTGTCTGAACCTATAGTCTCAGTGAATTGAACACTTTATTCATCCACCAAAACACAAACATCTGAACGTACATATCTGAGAGGCTTTTATTAGCTCTGTGAATCAGACATTAGGCCTCTGCAGTAATTAATGTTCAATAAAACCTCAGACAATATTAAAAAAACTTTTATTCAATCGTGTCAACATTTTTAAAAAAACATATTCAAACCCAAAATTTGCCGTCTAATATATGTTGTTGATCAGATCTTTGTTTAGTTTGATTTTGATCATCAASAAAATAACAACAATTTTACAATTAATAAGGCAACAGAATTTCTACATGGTCCAAATTACTTTAGATTTATAGGGGAAAAAACCTTCTGCATCAATTTGTAAGTTTATAATTAAATGAAGTTTGYAAAATATGTAATTTTCCTATTTATAACTTTAGTATTTCCATTTTAAAACTGCAGCACATCATATTTTCTAAATGCTTCTTTGTTTTCACTTAAAGTAAAGAAAAATGACTAAATTGAAAAAAAAACACATTAACTACTCTTAAAAAGCACAAGTGTTTTCCTTTATATCCACATTCAACAACACTTTATGGAAAAAAATAACTACCGTAGGGAAAAAAAAAAGTATCCCCAACTTGGCAGAAGCATGTTTGTATGTATCAGGTGAGTGATGGACACACTACGCCAAGCCATTCACTCAACTCCCCAAAACTCAGACTCCCATGTCCCATTGTCGCTCTTAACAAAGCCGCGGGAAATGTAAGCCTGGATTGTACCTGTTTTCTATTGCCTTGCATTTTCATTAAAAAGCCCGATGCTGCAGCTGTGGCCCCACTGTTCCACAATGTGAGCAGAGACTGCAAGGGCAAACATATGTGACCCACTTCTTTCAATCAAATAAAGTAGGCAGCTTTTAGCAACAGGTTTGAATCTAAATTGATGTTTAAATCCAGACAGGTTTGCCCACGTGGCTCTTCTCTGTCTGAGCTATGTGTGTGTTAGGAGACGRTTAGGAATCTGTCATTAAAGTTCCTTCCTCCATTAAAGCACGTGTTGTATTATAGCTCATTGTTATATGTCCAGTCAAAAAAATGTATTTCAAATTCAGGATCACATTGGAAATGAAAATTCAATTTAAAGCTGCAGTTATTTTGATTTTAAACTGTGTAAGTGAGAACTAGTATATGTCCCATTTTTTTAATCAAGGAAAAAATGTTTGTCTGCTTTAAAGTTAAACTCTTTTAACAAATTTTTATATAAAATATCAAATTTATAGAAAAATCACTATTTATACCATTAACAATGTGGGAAAATCTTGCCAGAACAGCAGCATWTTCTGTTTTTTTAGATACTCAAAAAGAAATATAAACCAAAAATAACACTAAATCAAAAACGTCAACAAGAAAAATTACATTTTCTTTTTTAAAAATATCAATTGCAACCCTGCTCTACTCTGGGTATTATCATTGAATCCAGATGATACTACCCTCTAGTGGTGAGCGTGTCTACAGTTAAACTGTGGGAAAACTTTCATTTCATTTCTGTACTTTTAAAGTTAATAGGGGAAAAATCAAATAAATATTTTAATATAGATCATATTTTAAGCTGTCATAGTGAGCGAGTATTTTTCAAAACTTCAGTGTTCTTTCTTTTCACGTATTCTAAAACCTTTAAATCAGATCCAGCTTTTTCTCCACGTTACTGCTTTTTTTTTCTTTGCTTGTAATGTGTAGACCACGTTATAAACAACACATTCCATTTTACAACTCTGGATCAATAGGCAGCCAATAYAGCCACATGTTAGGAGCAGAGGTTAAACCATCATAAACAAGTCCATTTCAAATATCATAAACCAAGAAGCTTTCAACAAAACTTAATCCTGACAAATGAGTTAAGGCTTCAGTGGTGTGCTTGCTATAACAATGTAATACATCTGAGCAGACYGCGGCAGGTAACCCGCTAGGGGTTAAACACTGACAGAGTATCCTTGTGAATCTGTCAAATCACTTTGCAATGACCTATTGTCAGAAAAAAAAAATAGGCGCTTCTGAATTTCTCTGTATTGTAAGGTTAAAGGGCAAGCTTTAAACGGTGGRATACGTGTATTGACACGATAGGACCTGACAGTTTATTAGATGGCCTTGTGACACATTTGTTCCCTGTGCCCACAGTTTACCTCGTCTYGTTGTCAAGATCCCAAGGGGGCAGTATATGTTGGAGGCACCTATCTGGTTATATAGATCCCAATCCAACTGAAAATTGATCTTTTCCACCAATATGGTGAAAGAAAGCACTTTCACAAGATGGGCAGCAACAGTACAGTTCATATTTATCATGGCAGCCACAGAAAAACCTTTTTTTTTTCTGTATGACTCACCTTCTGCTCCTGGGTGGAGTGGTTCATAAAGGTGGCTAGTCCCACAGAGACATAGCCAACAATGCAGTGCTGTAGACAAGCCCGACCCACACGCATGCAGACGGAGTGCAAGGTGTCTGGGTGTACAGTGGACCCTATGGCCTCCAGCTGACAGGAGCCGCAGAGCTGGTCTCCACAGGACAACATGGTCACTTCAACTCCTGGTTCCAGTAACAGATCTACTGTCAGACAGGTGACACTTTCTGAATGGGACATGCCTCCACTACACCACCTGGATGGAGAAAGGGAACAGAAAAACAAGTACAAGAAAAAGCACCTGAACACTGTTATTTAGGGACGTGACAGTTAAACTAGATCGATTCAATTTCATTTTAGGATTCATTTTAATGTTCTTTTTAATGGTCTTGCCCAACTCTACCTCACTGAGCTGCTGCACCCCTATACCCCACTTCCATTCTCTGAGGTCAGCAGACCAGCTGCTCTCCAGAATCCCCAAAAAAACAGACGTAAGCTTCGAGGGGATCGTGCCTTCACCACTGCTGCTCCTAAAATCTGGAGCAACCTCACTTTGGGCATCAGAGAGGCCACTTCCCTGTCAGCTTTTAAAACGTTACTTAAAACCCATCTCTTCTCCTTGGCACCATCTGAGATGTTGACTTTAAGTTTGTGTTAAGATTATTTAAATTAGTTTTAATTGGTTTTATGCATTTTGATTTTAATTGTATAGTTTTAATTTTCTGGTTAGGTTTGTATTATGCAGTGTGACTGTTTTGTTGACTGTGACTGTACAGCTCTTTGGTCCTATGGTTGTTTTAAAGCTTTGGTATGGCATTGTTATTGTAAGGCAGGAAGTTATGTCTTTAGGACAAATTCAGTTTGATACTTGATAACTTTTTAATGCTGATGTTAAAAGAAAAAAAAACATTTGATTATAAAATAGCTACAATTCATTTTGTTGAAAAATAAAKGGAAATAATCAAACTTAAAACTGGTAATCGAATCAAGGCTTGAGTGAATCATTTAAATCCCTACTAACATTAAAAAATAGTTTATTTGTCCTTTCAGAGACAACATCTAAGAACTAAAAGGAACACAGGAACTCCACAGGACTGTAGTTGTAGGTGAACAGCTTTCAGAGATTGATAAAAAAGTGTCTAACCTTGCCTGAGGAAGGTCTTGGAAGCAGGACCAACTGGGATAAGAGGAGGTTTGAGCAGGTCGGGCATAATGAGCCAGCCATTCTGGGATCTCATCTAAATATCTGAGCAGTGCGGTCTACAGAAAAAAGTCAAAGTGCATATCAGTGACACCAGACTGAGCACAGCTTATAAAGATAATGGTTTCATATTAATTAAACTCAACAAATATCAGCTACTTTTATGGTCCTTTTTTCAAGTGTTGACTACATTACTAGAACATCCTGGATTATCCAGCTGACTCTGGTGATTGTTTATTATCCATGAGATTTTGGTGACCTTTTCAGTTTCTGTGTGCGTGTCTGCCGGAGTGTCTATCTGTGAGTGACAGCCTATTATCAGAAGGCCTCGGGAGTCTAATAGCTTTAACTCACAGCCTCAAACCACCTGCCCTCAATAACAACTCTCTTCACTGGGCAGCTGATGAATACTTAAGCCAACCCCATCTATCTGGGGATCAATCAGGGCTTGACTGGGATCGATATCACTCTTGTTTCTGTAACTACGAAATACCATTATGGTTTCACCACTTAATTATACCGTTAATTTTTAGCTTTTGCTTTAGGTGTCCTTTAAAGACTTTCAGCAACTCAGTTTTTTTCTTTTCTAGCAGGGTAACTAATCTCACCACCTACTCTAAACCTTTGTCATTTTTCAACGTATGTGTTATAAAACTACAACTGACAAAGTTAAATAGACTGTGAAAAGACTGCCTCTTTTAAATACAGAGTTCTGTATACAATAATGTGTGTGTTCCACCATTATGCAAGAATCACATTTGCCCAAACAAAAAGAAAATGCAGGATATCTGTGTGAAAGATGAATAAATTCAGACTGGAGATAATATCTTTGTTCTTCTCTTGTACTATCTGGAGCGTTACTTTGTTTTGAGTATATGCTGTCTGGCTTCACTGGAGACAGGACCAGAGATTATGCTGTTGATATTCCAGTCATGTAACAGCCATCATCATATTCAACTACTGTACGAGGCGAGGTCAAATGCTGCACAGTGATTCCCCCTATACAAGCCATAAAGCAGACAATGGTGCGGGAAAAAGTGTAAGGGAACGGGTGTCATTCTCAACGGAAGAGCAAGCTCACCCCAGGACTTTGCCTGTGCAGTTCACAGAAACAGCAGGACAGCAAGAAAGGAAAGAGGGGTATTTTGCCATAAATTATTTGGACTTAAAGCACGTACAGGACCCTGTGATAGGATTCAGCCTTTGCTTGGCGTCCACATAAAGCTGAGGCAATCTGGCCATAAATAAAATGGATGCCCCCCCCCCCCCCATTGATTGCCAGTTCAGCTCTTGATTGCGCAGAGGAGCACTTCAGAAAATACAGTAGGTTTTGGAAATACGAGAATACTGTTTGACAAGTCATGTACTTTTCATGGACATTTTTTATTTTTAACAATGCCCCATCAAAACGTTAACCTCAGCTCACTACACACTATGGTTAACGTTTAATACGAGACACTGAGACAACAATTTGTTTCGGTGTCCCAAAATCTATTTATAAAGTTAAACCAAAGCAACAAGAACAGATGTTTTAAATTCAGGTTAACTATAACGATTATACATCTAAACTTTTTCGTGCCAGCACAGGTTGCACAATGTTTAGACAGGAAACATCTGTATAAAATGTTCCTCCACCTCTTCAGTGGTAGTGATTGTCAAATGACCCATTTCGATGACAAACTTAACCTAAATAAGGTTTTCCTTAAGATCTGTTTGTACACAGCATGACGGGRAAAAAATACTCCATCTGTTGAAGCTATTAGGTGTAATTTTTACCCTCTTGTGCCTAATGATCCATATGCAAGCTGTGTGAGCGCTTAAGTGTGTGTATGGCTCCCTTCAGGCATTGCATGGTTGAAGATCTACATGTCTTTAACCTCTCTCTGTGTAAATGCTAAAAGAGGCCTGGGGGCTTTCTTCAGGCTGAAACATTGTGCTGGAAGCTGTGGGCCTCGCAATATTTAGAGATGCACACGTTTTCCTAGACCTCTGTGTGTGGAAGATCCTAATAATGTGGATAAAAAGCTCCTCCTTCTTTTTCTATCCTTTTAGGCTTTGTTTTGCACAGCTAGGTTAGATGTAATTGTTGGTATTACTCTGAAAGAGCATGTAGTTCTGAATCATGCATTTTTAAACTGAGCTATTCAGAACAAGCAATAATTAAAATATATGTGCAAAAACTGAAAACAGATACCCTCACTAATTTCCTTTCTTGCTTTAAATTTATTAATAGCTAACGTTCAAGGGTGTTCCACTGAACGTACGGCATTAGCTCATACACTTTAATCATTGCTTATTTGTCATTTATAGGTAAACTGGAGCTGATAACTCCCAATCTCATCTCCACTTTTTACTGTGAGAAAAGAAATGGTAAGATGTTACAGTTCTACAAAACATAYAAAAACTATTTCCTTCAGCATTTAAAGCCAAATTGCTGTTTCCTTTCYAAACAAATACGACAGATGGACAACTGAATACATTTGATGCATTTCAGAGGAAACAAAGTCATCACAAAAAAGAAAAAAAATCATGCAATGAAGAGCACAGGATGTGGGCTTTGCTTTGATTAAAAGAGCAAGGTGTAGAATAAAGGCCAGTTAAAGTGTTGTGTCCATATGGCCCAGAAGCCCCGAGGCTGTCGGCCTACACTGGGGGCCTCAGCACTCTTCCCTCTCCATGGGACCCCAGCTGGTGAAAGAAACCCCATTTACTTCCCTCTGCAGCCTCAGCCACTATTATAGACCTTGGCTGTGGCTCAGCTACTCTCTGCCGTAATTAACGGCACCAAAGCTACAACAATTACAGCCCCGCACCATGCATGCCCTATGAATCAAAGAACAAGCTAACAGGAATAAAATGGAAAGACCCATAAGAAACTCGAGATGACTGCTGTTCTTTCAAATGGAATAAAAAGTAAAATCGTTTTGCTCCAAGCCCACAATCATTAGCCTGTAATTAGTTTACACAAAGCTCCCAGTTAAATGGCAAAATACGGTAATTAACGCATGACAGAAAATCAAAGGTTACTTTGTAAGCATATGAGAAATAAAAGCCAGGTGTACAAATTGCATCCGAAGCAAATAAATKGTTTAACGCAGATTAAGTACATTTTATTTACATCAAATATGTCTGACTGAGATTTTATCAGTTATTCATACATCAAATGTTATAAATAGAGGAATTTAAAATGTTAAAGCCATATCAATTGCTCGGAGCCAAAACAGAGGGAACAGCTTTTCTTTTCCGCAAGAGCAAATAAAAAAACAAAAAGCTCTACTGCCTGGTGTTTGAATTACCTTTAAGACACAAAGCAGCTGTAAAGTGCAGCTGCACAGAATAGTTATACTACACACATAAAAAAAAAATCCTAATTGTGTGTACTATGATTTAATCGACACTGGCAGGTTAATTAGAGTATAATTGACTGAACATAAGTGGACGTGCTTTTGTTTTCCATAAAATGCTAAAAATGTTCTAAGACATTAGGGACTAAAAGGGATTAAAAAATGCAACTCATTTAATGAAACTATACTTTTGCCATCATTTAACAACAGCAAATTATTTTTTAGCTATTTTTTAAAACATACATTAAACTGAATATCTAACTTTAATGCAATGATATCTGTTAAGTATGTAAAGGTTACGAATCTAGCTATAGATATAATAGTTTTGCATTAGCATTTGTGTTTTGTAAAAAATAAAATAAAAATAATAAAAATAATAAATAATACAAGGAGAAAAATCTTAGAAATGTAAACACAAATGCAAAAATCCAAGCAAACAGGAATATCGTTTTCATTAGAGGTCAAATACGATGGCAGGACAAATAGAAGCATCTGATCTCGGTCATTTGTTTACTTGAATCCATTCTGAGCCCCATAGATCAACACCGTAATGATGATAATGCTGCAGAGCCCATTTATAGCAGCCAAGATGGCAAACATCGCAGTACGCTGCAACGCGACCACGGTGATGCAAGTTCATCTTAAAAAGCCAGCGTTGCACGTTAATATTTTGAGTCATGAGCTCTGCTAGTGTTTCGTGAAGCTAAAACAAATGAAAAAAAAAAAAACATTAGAAAGTAAATGAGATGTTTTTCTGTTATATTAGATACTTACTGTAATGAAGTATGGGTGTATATTTGTGTGTTTTTTGGTGTCCTGTCTGGTTTTGTGAGCAGATATCTGCCAGACCAGGAGGAGCATCAACATCTGCTGCAGCAAAGATCCTTCTTCCTCCAGAATTGGTGCTGTAGAGTTGTGAAACAGCTGGTTCTGGACCCAAAATCGGCACATCCAGCTCATCAGCCACTGCCAGGCCATCCATGTGGCTAGCTCCACCCACTACGTAGGCCTGCTTTCCCTGGATCAGGTGTTTGACACGCTTCAGGGTGCGTGGACTGTACTTCAGCAGCGTAGACAGACACGTTATGCGTCTGAAAAGAAAAAAAACACAGTAGGGATCGAGATGAAAGGTAAAGTCACACCTTCTCTGTGTGTTTTCTAAGCGTTGTTTCTTGACCCGATTCATCAGAATATACACACAACAGATCTATTATTCATATAGCCAGCAGGGTTTTGACCTCTCCTGTATTCTAGCAGGTTGAATTGATAAAATCTGCCTGTGGGAGGCCTCCCTTATCCTTCACTTCTTTAATGTGTGCTACCAACGAGCTCCTTGGGAATACAACTAATTACTTCACATCTGTATTTATTTGATCCACAYGGAATTATCCCTTCTGTCACTGGCAGAATGCGCTGCCAGCCACGGGTCGCAGCGATCCATCTCAGCAACACGTCTGGCATGGTTTAACAACAAAACAGCAGGAAAATCAATAAAAAGAAATGAAGAAGACCACGCCGTGTGGCACATTCAGTCTAAATAATCCTAAAAGCAGGCTCGAACACTTTTAACTGAGAAGACAATAGAGCTACTATGTGATTTTTGTTGAATCAAGGTAAAGAACACCATCCTGGTAAGAAAAGATGTAAGAATGAAGTAAATAAACCAACTAAAATTTAATTATCTTCGGAAAACCACTGCAGCAACTGGTTATAAATGCTATAATTAAGTGCAACAATAATACAACCTTTGCTGTGTTTACAGAACACTGAAAAAATAATGCAGAAGTTAATTTCAAACATAATAAGAAGCACTAAAAAACCTGCTGCCCTCTTAGGAAAACTATATATTAACAGCCCTCTCTAGTACCCTCTAGAGGACGATTTACAAACTACAAATGACCAYGTCCTTCCCGTGGCACAGTACACTTCTAACTAACTGTAA